ACTGTGAAAGCTTCTCTTTTTCAGTCATAACTCATTTCCTAAGAAAATGTCAGTTATTGCTTCACCTTATGGTCTGAGCTGTTTAGTTTATAGTTTATTTCTTCTGATCTGTACCACTGACAGATATTGTAGACATGACTGTGATTAAATACGCTTCTGAAAATGGTAAACATTTGATAATATAAACCCTCTTGGGAATATGCTGTTATTTCTGCATGGCTACATTCTCAGGTGCATTCAAAGTATAATGTGGAAGCAAAGAAAAAACATTTTAAGCAATTGCAGTTATTAGATTAAACTGTTTTGTTAGGAAAATTGTGATGTGTTTAGATCACTGTGAGATAATTTAGTGTTTTCATAAATATGCCTTTTAAATGCATGGCATTGCAGCAGTTACACTCCAGTGAGATTTTAGTGTAAAACGAAGATAACATATGTATTTCCATATGGTAGTAAACTAATTTAGTCCCATAAATTTCTACAACATATTTTTTTCCTGGTAGAAGCCCTATTCTAAAAGCAGCGGTAGTTATAAAATCCAATAATTGCATCATGCTATTTACTGTAATCATGTGGCATTGTTTTGAGTCTGTGCCCAGATGTGTGTAGCATAGCAGTGTCTGAAGCACACATTAACAATCTCACAATAAAGACAAAAGTAGTAATTGCAATATAATTATTATTTTTATTGATGAACTTGTTTAAGAGCTCTGTTGACATTTACAGACTTTGAGGATCATGCAGCGTTTGTTACAGTTATCCCAGGCATCAAACATCAACAAAATGTTTAAGATTGTAGGATTAAGCAGTGACAGATTGGGGCCAGATGTCTGGGAGATACTGTAAGTGGCCTTCTCAGTTGATCAAATAGTTCTTACCATCCTAAAGCCCTTTGGAAATTGAACATTTGTTCTTTGTAGTTGAAGCTGAGACACTTCTGGGATTGATGGATCTTACTGGAGGTTATTTGAGAAGGAGAATGAGCACCCCATTTATCCAGGAGTAGTTTTATTTGGTGTATATATAAATATAAATACACTCCAAGTAGCAAGGGTAGGTGGAAGAGTTAAAAGTGCTGGTGAGTAGCAATGAAGCCCAAGCATTGCCTTACAAAGTCATCCTAACAGTTTCCTCAGCAACCCAGTTGAAGTTATCTTGTCCTTGTACAACTGTACAGGTGAGACACTTCTGCTTTGGGGAAGCTGGGTCTCAGCAGTGCTGTCTCCCATGTGGACTTGTCTCCACATGTGGACTGGTAGGGAAAAACTGCAAGGGACACAGTCAGCAGATCCAGCAAGAAATAACAGCTGAAATAGGTTTTCCTGGAGTCCTTCAAAGTAGTGACCTTTCTGCAGCTCTGAGTGGATTCTCTCACCCCCATGCTTGTCAGCTCTTTGCACCAACTCCTTTTCTCCCTCCCTCTCAGGCCTTTCACCTTCACCTTTGTACATCACCTTCCCCTCTTCTCATCACTTGCCAGCAAGGTTCTCGCCCTACTCTCCTTTTCCACTGATTTTCTTCTTGTTTAGCAAACCCTACCTTTAGCAACCCTGCCTCCTTGAAAAGATGAGTGCTGGGTCATATCATTCTCTTTGCTGGTGTATTCTCCCACCTTATGTGTTTAGAATGAATTTATCACAGCATTGCGACTGTCCCACTATCTGTTATCCAGCTTAATAGAGCTGGATAATATAAATAATATAAATTAGGAAATTATATAAATAAGAAAAGCCCTTAAAGTCCAGGCATACATGGTGATGGACGAACCTTACTGCTGAAGGCATTAGACCTTTGGATTATATGTTAGTACCAAAACAAGGCTGTTGACCACAGTAAAAGTACAATAAACCCCTATTTATGTGATGCTGCTTAGGTGGTAGCTCTGAGCCTTTATGGTAGGGCCTGTTCCTTCTCTTCCTGAAGTCCCGATCCAGCATCCAGCAAGCTCTTAAACATATGTGCTTTCATGTGTTTTAAATTAAGCTTGTGTTTAGATGTTTTAGGACATTTGCCATTGGCATTTTTGCTGCTGACATCAATGAGAATGGAGCTGGACCGTTAATTAGTTTGGATTATTCTGCATACTTTCCTACTTTGCATTAGGCTGTAGATATGGGGCTGAAGACTGGTAATCCATTAGAAAAACATTCTGAGGCTCAAGATCCTCCATTCCTGACTGAATAGCTGAGAAATTACTTCTGTGACCTAACAGGTCTTCCAGGCCTGAGACAACAAGGAAACAAGAAGGATCAGGTTGTGGAGTGTCACTGTAGTGATTCTGGTGCCAACAGGGTATAAAGGGTCCCAAGGATCCAGTAACAAGGAACGTTGCTATATAATGTCCTTCTGGGCTAGGTTTTTTGATGCCTGTATGCGAGAACCAGAAACTCCTTTAGAGAGGGGAGTGGAGTACATAGAAGGGACTCGTGACAATCAGGGGAGAGTCTGCTCAGGTAGGGGAGAAGGAATGGCACACACGGGGGGACAGCATGAACAGTTGAAGGGGAAAGCTTGGTCTTGCTGCTCACCTGGGATTTGGGTGAATGACGTTGCAGAGCTGCAAAATAATTTTGTAGACTCTAGGTCTGATTCTCACCCTACCTTGTGGTTATATATTGGTGAATAAAACTGAGAAGAGCTGGTCTATTGAACTGAAAATTAAAGGGATATTAGTTCGAAGGGGATGATACAACACTGTGGACACAACACTAATGAAAGGAGACTGAAGAAAGGTAGGGAGAGGGAAGGAGAGGAGAGGAGAAGAGAGGAGAGGGGAAGCTGGGAAACAAAGTGGAAACAAGTGATCTTTAGGACCTCAGAACATTAACTCCATTTGCCAGAGACTGGCTTTATGGAATGTCTTACGAGAACTATGGATTTGCCAAACTCTGCTTTATTTTTCATGCACTTCAGCATATTTGCACATTTCAGATTGCTTCGTTCTGAATCCTTTCCAGATTTTTAGTGGTGATTAAGAAGAAAGTTTGTTTCTTTTTAAGCCTTGGTGGCTTGGTCACTTCCAAAACTCCCTTGCCTCACTGCACCAGCTCGTGTTCAGAGGGGAGTCATGGCCAAAAACCAAACTTCTGAAGCTGTAGACTGCATGTCTCCAGGTGACTCTGTGGATCTATCATTATAGTTTTGATGGGGAAAGGTGGAAATATATACATATCAGATAGTTGTCTGCACACACAGACCCAAATATGCCATTAAATATCTGCCCAGGGAGTGAAATATTTAGGGCAGTAAAAGCGATAGTGATTCTTTCATGTATGAGCATCGTGGAAAGGCAGAAATTTGCAGTCTGCCAGGAAACCCTCTATGTGGGTTCCTGTGTGTTGCGAGTGCATTGGTGTGCTTAATTTGTAGTGTGCAGAGCTGATCTGCATCCAAAGACAGAACACAGCCTGCAAAATGAAGTACTAGCTTGAGAATCCAGATCACTTTGTTTACTGTGTTGAGATGCTTAAAAAACATTGGTCTGAGTGGGATGCGAAGGACCTTTGTCCATCAGTAGTTAAAATTGCCTTTGTCAGGCACCAGGAGATCAGGTGCCTCCAGTTTACAGCATCTTCTAGGCTCCATCTGCATCTGCTCTGCCTTCCCATCCCTCTGCCTGCAATGCTGGATGCAACAGCTGAGTCAGAAGATTGCACTCACCAATGTATGTATGAGGTGTGTGCATAACAAATAGAATGTGACAGGGATTGGCAAGACTAATTTCTGTGGTGCCATCTGAGGAACCACAGGTAGTGAATGGAAAGCTGCTGAACAAAATCCTGACTCAGCAGAAGGAAGTGACAAAGCACTCACTAATTTTGTGAGGGTCAGGATTTCACTCTTTATGAGCAAGAATCGTACAAAAAAATCTGGCTTCCAGACATAGTGGTTTTAAGACACACCTGCCTTCTTTCAAAATTGTTGTTAGTGTTGATATGAAGGTGAATTGGGTTGTGTTTCTCAAATACATTCTTGGAGATCCTGAATCATAGAGGAGCCAGGGTTTTAACTGTATAGAGACACTAGGAGATCTGCAGTGCCATGAAGCTGCAATGCAGTGGGCAAAGTATATGCACACATACCACACGTGAGTATGCATGCATAGAGTTATTTGTGCACATGCGTAAGAGTGCATTTTATGGGTTTGCTGGTGCATGAATTTGCGTATGCATGTATTCGTGCTCACCTGAGTTGGTTCCCAAAGCCCATTTTAGAGACAGCACCTCCACTGCAGTCACGTGTTGTCTGTACACTGAAACTTACCAGTGAGCAATGCAAAACACCCTTCCCTTGGCCTAGTAGCTGGAAATTTTAGTTATTTATTCAGATTTAATTTGAAACAGTGACTTTTGTTATGAATGCTATGCAGTGTTTTATTACTGAGTTCTCTAATGAAATGGGTGCTTCAGAAGTCAGAATTGCTCAGGTTACTCGTTGTATAAATGCTGAGAACAGATCTGAATGATATGGCTGGTAAAGAAAAGGGTGCAGAATAACAGCAGAGTTCCTTTGGATTGATCTTCAAATGGATCAGGTCTTCTTGTAATAGTCCGTGCTCATCTGCTCCAGTGTATAGTATTTCAGACATCTGAAACCAGGTTCTTACCTGCCACAAATAGCTTCTCTTGCTCTCTGTAGCAGCTCATTGTTATCGCCGACAGTGGTTCCTGTGCCAATTAACATCTAAGAGAACTCATCAGAACACTTGTTCTTTCTTTAAATTTTCTGTTCTGACACTATGTCTTTAAGCATTCAGTACTTCAGACAGAACGTGTGAGATATTTATAACCCTTGTATTATTATTGAGCTATACACCATGTCTTCAGTGACAGATTAAATGAACAGCACAAAATGTTGTGTTTCATCCATAAATTTCAACAGATGTTTGAATGTTGGTTGATTTATTGCGTGTCCAACTTGGATCTTACACTGTTCTCATTGTGGCTGCACATGGTTTATTTAATAGTACTTTACAACGATTTTTTTATTACATTTTTCAGTTTGAAGGGTGCAACAAGGCATTTTCTAGGCTTGAGAACCTTAAGATTCACCTCCGGAGTCACACTGGGGAGAAGCCATACCTGTGTCAGCATCCTGGCTGCCAGAAAGCTTTCAGCAACTCCAGTGACCGGGCAAAGCATCAGCGAACACACCTGGATACCGTAAGCATGATTTCATACTGGGAGTTGCACTGAGTTTTCCAATGGTCCTTGTACACAATCTGTTCTGCAACTGGAGGGTGACTTTTCCTTTTCACGAGGAGTGTCTCAGAAAACTCAGCTATAGGCAACTGTACTTTTGTTTTGAATCGTATGTGCTTTGAGAAATGAAAAAGTCTTGATCACAGAAAGGCAAATTCAGCTGTCTTACTCATGCTGAGGAATAAGTTACTCAAGAATAGGTTACTCAGGAATAAGTTACTCAGCAAACTCTCCCATTGTTTTTGTTCCAGTAAGAGGAGGCAGCAGTAGAATAAGGTATAGTATGAGTGAAACCTGAGTCATTGCTGCTGGACTAAACGTGTGTCATTGTCTTGCTTCCTATCCTGGTTGCTTCAATAAAATCTGTTCTGAATGAATGCAAAAGCAGTTCAGACATCTCAGTGGAAGGTAAATGCATCGGTTTTGGATATAATTTTGTAAAGGTAAAAATATGTCTGTCATAACTATATGAAATTTGTCAAGTACCCACCATCAGAATTAACTGTAAGAAACAAATTCTTTTCTTATGTACAGTTGGTAGATTCTGGCTCAACTCTACAAGTCTTCTCACTTGTCTTGCAGAGAAGATGGGAGCCTGTCTAGTGTCTTAGGCTCCAATAAAATTAAATCACCATATTATGGGGAAAGAAAGTAAGTAGACAACTTTGTAGACCAGTTAAGTCCTCAGCATAAAGCTTGTAAAGAATAACAGGCAGAGTTCTTCCTTTGTCTTTTTCAAAGAAGTGAATATATGGTTTAATGTTTGGCCAAGTGTTTATGGGGCAGAACTTTTGAGTTTAATTGATATTTACTTTTTAAGCAGTTACACATTTCAGACAGTGCAGCATTAAGGAATGTCTAATGTACATTATGCCTTGCAAAAACAAACAAGTAAGAGAAGCGAGTCAGTCACATTTTCCAAACCAAAGCACACTTACAATAACAATGTTTTATTTATTTGAAAGTCAACCTGAGATATTTGAATTTGTAATTAGTTCTAAAATGCGTCTCTTTTGAAAGTGGATATACTAAATTGGGTGCACAGCTTTGAAATGTAACGGCTTGAATCTAATAGATATATTTTTTATTAGCCAAAGTCATAAATGGAATGCCATTTATTAGTTTTGAAAGAAAATTCAAATGGTTACCAAAATAAGCAAAAATTCTTATATCTGTTGATCTGTGCATTATTGAAGACAAATCTCTTAACTTTCTATTTTCTTTTCTTCTCTTTTTATCTCTGTCTTTATTATCTGAAATGCTCATAAATCAGGAAAAAGGTACAGTAATAATTTTCTACTAACTTTATTAAATATCCAAAAACATTCTCCATGCTATTCCATTGCAGGTTCTTTAAAACTGTTTCTGTAGTCCTACAACACAGTAACTAACTTCCACTTACCTGGTTTAATTGCAGTCCAATGGTTTAGCTTAGTGTATTGTGTGCTTATGTGAATGTGAAGAATAACAGAGCTACAGGATGGTGCTACTGTCAAGACTGCACGTTGCATTAGCTCAGTGGGCAAAATAACTGCCTGGAATGTCAAAGCAAATAGCCATGAACCTTTTTAAGGGTAGTCAGATTTTCATCTAGTTTCCCTATCACTAAGTTGACTGATTCTATCACTAATTTGAATTACATCAATGATTTGAAAAATACTCTGCTAGTTTTTCTGCTAAGGGATTTGGTAAAGTTTTCCATAGTTTTTCCTCAGGTGTCAGTTCTCTGTGTTCCAGACACTCTCAATAAATGTGCTTTGCCCTGTAACTTTCTGGGTAGTTGCTGTGTTAGCCTGTAAGGTCATGAATTGGTGAATGATTCTATTATTCCTTCAGAAATTTCCTGCTGGCTGGACAGGGCAGCAATACTTATCCTCTGGAGGTACTTGCAAAGAAAAGGGGTTTATATAGACTCCTTATTCCTTATTGAGTGCATTTGGAATTAGTTTTAAAGCTTCTCAATGTAGGTCACTCCATCATTTATCTTCTCCAAAAGGAGAATCTGTAAATCATTTCAGAGACTTACTGGTGTATGCTAGTTTGATCGAATCTCTACTAAATCATCTGGAAGTAGATCCTTCTCCTAGGTAGAAGCAGAACAAAGGCAATGTATCTGTCCTTGTGGTAAAAAGGGCATGTCATCACTCCTCCAGGGGCAGAGCAACTTGTTTAAAGGACCTCACAGTCACTTCTCCCAAAACCGGTGGGGTTTTTTCCCTTTTGTGCAAGGAATTAAAGAATGTGACACTGAGGTCATGACAAACCAGTTTTCTGCCTTTGGGAAGACACCAAAAGGACTTACGAGTCCAAGTGAGAAGGCTAAGGTAATGTTGACAGATGAGGCAAGAAAACAGAGAAAAAAGGAATGTTCCGCTCAACTTTAAAACTTTGTGAGCTTTGACGTGCAGCACTATTTTGCTATCACTTAAGTCAGTGGTTACTTAATAACAAGTGCCAGAGTCCCTTTGTTCAACTTGGTAATTGCACATTCATTTGGAGGTTGTACTGTAACACAGAGATAGTGTTTCATTTGTTGGGAGTAGGCATAACTAACAGAACTTGTTGAGGCTTTCAGTCATTGGGACTCCAGAATCAGCGGTTAAATTGGAGCATCCTTTTTTTTTATTTTCCTATGAGAAGAGTGTACTGGAACTGCCTGCCCAGACCCAGATGGTTTTCCCAGAAAGAGTGCTCATACTGTGACACATAGAAGTGGCAAGCTCTGCTGCATGCCAAAATCAGCTGGAAAGGTCCTCCCGACAAAATCAACAATAGTGGATTTTTCTTTCTGTATTGACTTGCTCAGATGTTAATGTTTGATGCATGTTGTTTGGTTAGGAGGTATAAAAAGAAAGATATTGCTGTTGTTACTCGAAACAGGAACAAGGTATGAAGGAAACCAAATGTGTGCTATGCCACAAGTTTTGCTCTGCTGCATGTGGAACTGTTGTAAAAACTATGTAAATCAGAACTCAAAACCAGAGCTTCTATATTTATAATTATACTGGTTGATCTCATGATCATTTTGTCTACTGTAAAGGCTAGAAAAAAAGTAATGCTCTCAAAACCCATTCAGTTACATCTCATTAGCATTTAATGCAGCCCAGTAAGCAATATCCAACATGACAGAGTATAGATGTGTCAAGTGCTCTCAGTGCTTGCATGGCATGCAAAATCAGAGCGATCAATGTGGTTCTTCTGTTTGCATCATGTCTGGCTTGTGTACTTAGAGGAGACAGAGCAAATCTGGAAACAGCAAACAGAGCAAACAGCTCAGGCTTAACACTGTGTTTCACAGAAAGGGCCATCCTTCAGTGCTCTGTATGCTGATTGTAGAGATGCAGAGGAATATGAAATCTTTTCCCTTTTCTCACATTTACAGAAACCCTATGCCTGTCAGATTCCTGGCTGCTCTAAGCGCTACACTGACCCCAGCTCTCTGCGCAAACATGTGAAAGCTCATTCAGCCAAAGAACAACAGGTGCGTAAGAAGGTAAGACCCACTACACAAAAAGTGACACATCTCCAGATCTCCTCGATATAGTTATTTTTTATTTATCTTTAGTTTATATATTTTCAAATCAGAGTTCTTCTGCAATATTGCTAGAAGAAAACTTAAGTTGAGCTCATTTTCCTGTTGGTTTTTAATCACTATTGTTAACCAGTCCACTTTATAGTTTTACACTTTCAAGGCTACTACCCTGTAATTTCAGTTTGCCCCACACTTTCTCTCCAAGCATTTCTTTCCTGTTCATCTTTCATACACAAGCCCAAATTCTGCTGTCATTCACATAAAATGTCCCTGCATTGAGTCCCTGCAATCAGCTAATAAATACATGTTGGCAGATCATCTAAAACACAAATGAAACTAAGCCAGGATACTATGGAAATGTCAGGAAAAGAGCACTTGTAATAGATGAGAATGAAAACCCCGCACTTTTCCCACCACATCTGTATTTTAAATGTATTTATAAATCATTCCAAACCCAGACTGCTAGTTATGTTTTCACTACTATTAGATTCAAATAAGTATTTTGGTTTCTGTGGGCTAAACCCTGAACTCATTATTAAATGGGGATGCTTACGGGCACCAGCCCAGAGTCAGAGACTTGTTTATTACACATTTGTACACACAGTTTGTAAAAAGATGACTGGGACCCCACAGAGCTGGTCTGTGACAGAACAGACCATGAGCATACTTCGGGCCCAGGAGTGGAAGGGAATGCAAGCCTTAGCAAGCAATTACAATTAGTTCAATAAGCAGCAATGACATCTTCCCTCAGCTGCTTCGCCACTACCCAGAGCATCATGGATGAGACAGCAAGGCATGTTTAAAGGATGGAGGACAGAGCAGAAATCACAGCCTGGCAAGATAGAGCTAGGGAGCAGCTAGTTTGGAAAAATGTCAAAGGTAAGAACTAGAAGTACTGGAGAGCAAAGAGAGGAACATGTAGAAAGAAGAGACAATAGTAGAACCCAGGTGATCTTAGTTGCAGAATTTTGGATGAGCCACGGAGGAGTGAGATGGATGTCAAAAAGGCCTAATTTTCCTGCTTGAATACAACTGTGATGAGTTCATACTGATTTGTGCTTGTGTCAGCCATGCCCCCTGTCTTACACCCCTCCCCCCTGCTATTTCTCAGCATGAATTATATCCCCTACAGTTTTCACTTGGTTAGATTCACCGATCTGAACTTATGGTTCCCTTTCCTAGGACAGTTGTCTGTCCCCCAATTCTTCCTGTAACCCTTCTCTGTGTCAGGTGCATGCCGTCTGAGTAACAGTTTCTAGAACATCAGTGTCCAGAGTTATGCACACTATTTCAAATAGTCAGTCAAGAAAGACTCATTACATGTGGAGCTTTGTGCCTGGGAGTAACACTGTTCATACCTAGCACCCATCCAGATGTCCACAGAATCAAGTTGTTGTCTCTGCATATATCAGGTCCTGTCAGAACTCTTATTTAGCCTGGCAGAACTGGAAAGGACCACCTAGTTTTCAAGCCCAATTTTGTATTATCAGGCCATGTGGTTTTACTACAGCTCTCTAGAAGGTTCCACAGGGTGTGCTGTGCACACACCTCCCACACCACAGGTCGCAAAATTCCCAATGCTTCCCTAGAGCAACCTTTAGGTCTTAATGAGAGTAAGAGTCAGAAAGCCATAGCAGTAATTGGCCACAGAAAGAAGTTGACTGTGGCACCAAAGTCTTTTGCAATAGTAAGATCTTTGCAACAGCAAGATTTTGTTATATGAAATTCTCAGCTGATTGTGGAAAGCAACCATGTTCCCTGTTCCAAAGGAGAGAACCCTCCCCCATCTTTCCTTCCTGTGGTTGCTGACATATTTCTTGGGGGAGGAAGGAGGGAATTATTTCCTAATACCAAACATGGGTATCATTTGTTCAGCTCTGTGTACTGGGCTGAATGCATTAACATCCTTTACACCTGGACAAAGAAACAGTCCCCACTGTTATACCCTGTCACCTGCTGAGGCCTATTCCAGTTCTATGGAGGAAGGTGGGAAAAAAAACTAAATCCAAACTTTGCATTAAGGGGCACAAAGTACTTCCTGCATAAGCAGCGGGAGGCCTTAAGCATAGAATCAATACAGGACAAATGCGGTACACACAAATTGCAAACTCAAGCTTCTTGGATGTACCAAGACATCAAATAGCCAGGGTTTCATATCTCTTAATCTCCTAGCTTGAGGAATTTTCCTGCATGCATATACATATCCTCCCATAGTCTTATCAAGTCTATCTTAAAATAATGTTAGTTCCTTGCCTCCCACACCTTATTTGGTAGACCAATCTAAATCTGCACTCCTCCAGTGGTTTGAAATCATCTTCAGATTTCCTGTCTCATTTAAACATGATAACTTTATGAATACTTGATCCTGTGTCTTTTTTCCTTGAACTTAAAAGGCATCTGAAAAAGCAGCAGATTTAAAGTGCATTTTGATCAGGCTCTCTTAAAAGGGACCAAAGCAAATCTGACTCATAAAGAAATAATAAACCCCACCAAATATTTCACTTAAACATATTATAGGAAAAAAACCCCTTTCACAACTAAGTAAATCTCAGTGTTATTGAAACGGTGACAGTCTATTTTGAAAAAAAGGGGAAAAGACTGTTTATACTCACTTGCTTATTTTTGGTTATAACTCGGCAAAGGCAGTTGTCTGTTGGTATCAGCTTCCCAGGAGTTCTGAGTGGAAATGACTTAGCCAAGAAAGAAAAATTAACAGGCTGCTTTGCCCACATGTCTTGGTTGAGATATGCTACCAAAATGTGCCATCTCTGATGTAAAATAAAATGCCTGAGTTTAGAATTACATCAAAGGAATCCTGAATATTTAGTTCATAGCCTAGAAGGTGACTGCAGTGGTAATATTTGGTTGTTCTGAAAGGCTTTACAAGAACAAAATAGGAGAAAGTTAGCTGTTAATTTAGTAGTAGTTTAAGTTTAATTGGCTGCAGATGCACTTTGTGATTCAAACGTTAGATGTTTATCTTGAACCAACAAATGGCTGTATAGCAGAATTCTATATAGGTTTGCCTGGACCTTTTGTTTAGAATAACCAAACCCAGGGGAGATCGGTATGCAAAACTGTAAACGTAAAGACAATAACTATTTATTAATGGCTATACAATATGATGGCTGTTTGTGTAATGTGAGCACTATATTATGACAAAAGCTTGGCAACATCAGCATGTTTGAAAGAGAATTAGAAATGCTTTTCTTTCTTAATTCTCCTCTCCTGCTGTTTTTAATATGATCGACATTGTGGTTTTCCAGAGTTTGCTTCAGACTCTTTTGCCAGAGCTTTAATTTACATGGAGAACAGCTGACATATCGGTGATACCTCTTACACATTACTGACAGCGTATTATTCCACCAGTTCTAATCTGATAAGCACAAATGCTTTTCTTTCTCTATCAAATGTCTTTCCAAGTGTCACAGCTACAAGGTGATGCAATCCTTTTGCCACAGAACCCAAGAAACTACAGAAAGCCTGAAAATATGCAATGAAATTACTCAGGAAGGTTTGAAGAAACACAGGGTACATTATTTTCTGAAGCAAACTGTTGTTGATTTAAGATTAGCACACTTAACATGTGTGCTTAAGAAAACCAAAATTATCTCTAATTAAAAATACCAAGTTATAGATACATCCTTAATTACACCAAGTTCGTAAGAATGACATTTTGTTCCTTCCTTCTGTACATAATCTTTAAGCAGAGACATATGAATTTAATTAGAAGTCATTTGGTTTACTTTGAAATAAAATGTTTGTTTTATCCTCCTCTTGTAGCTAAATTCATGTACTGATATCGAACAAGATGTACTAAGTGAATGCTTAGCTATACAACAACTCCACACATCTTCACAACACATTTTGGATGGGAAATGTGGTAGATCTGTAGGTCATCATGATTTAATTACAGGTAAGAATACTTCTAATAAGTATGGTGCTAAATATGTCATGTAATACAGGATTTAAAACAGAAAAGCTTATGGGTCTGATTTGCCACTATGGAAGATGAAAAAAAAACCAAACCAACAAATAAAGTGAAATAATTTTGTGAGTTGTTTGCTAAGGCCTGACTTTTTTTTTTCAGAGTTAGTCAGCCAAATAGCTCCTATTAATTTCACATGAAGGGGGTAGCAGCCCTGCTGAAAGTCAGCTATCCATTTGTTCTCTTTTAAAACGTTTGCCTTGGCTTCAGCAGAATGCAGATGCATGGGCTTTGCTAAAGCCAATTGGTGCTCTAGCAAAGACAAAGGCATGCAGCAATAAGGTTTTCCAGCTCTTCAGGAGCTGCAGAAAAGTTGATGAGGATGTGTATTATCATGCACTGTGTGATTATAACAAATAATATGGTGATGTATGAATGGAGCAAAAGCTTGAATTTGAAATGTCAAACATGTTGTTTTAATTATCTTTTCTAGTATTTAATCTTTCTTTCATTCCTTCTTGTCTGTCTTTTCTTTCTTTCTTGTGGTTTGATCAAGAGCTGGCCCCTTTCAGGGTCTTTAGACTGTTCTATACATTTTACAGGAAGAGAAAAAGATGCTTCCATTCCCTTCTGCTGAAAATAAGATCTAGATTCACAACTTTTGAACCTCAGCGGAGGGTCCTGAATCAGGGATGTAGCAATCTCAGGTTCTTTGTTTAGCCAGCAGAGAGAAAGAGGAGCTCTCAAAGGCCATCAGTTTAATTGTAATCTGCCTCACCCTTTGAAGGCACCCATATCCCTCCACTGATTCTAGAGATTAGAGAAGGGAACTTTTCACTTAGCTGTTTTCACCCTCAAATTTCTTTCTGTCCATGTAACTATGTAGCCCTTTTTCTAATTTTCATATTTATTTTGTTCTTGGCTTCAGCAACATCATGTATCGGTGAGTTGCAAAGCCCACACTTTTTTGAAAAAATACTTTCCTTGATTAATTTTGCATGTGCAACTTTCAGATGATGAGAAGAATATGCACATAGACTCTTACTTGATCTGCTTTGGTGGAACCTACTTTTGGAGAACCATTCATCTTACTGCCTTTGAAACTTCTCTAACTCTGTAATACCCATTTTGGGATAGGATAACCAACACTACGCACAAAATGCCAGATTATGCCATTCGCTTGATTTATAAGCCGTCATTGTCGCGTTTTCTTGTGTCATTCTCTGTCACGTTCCAGATGCATCCCAACATCTTATTCATTTTTTAATGGCAGCTGCATATTAGAAATGGGATGGATATATGGCAACATTTTATATCTAGCACTTTGTATGGTCTGGAGAGAATCTCCAGAAAAAAGGTGTAACAGAATTTAATCACTTTTTCATTCTATAATTGTTTAAATAATCATACTAAACCCAGTTTTGGACAGACTGTTCCTAATTTTGGGGCAGGAATATGGAGTCTGGCATACCGTATGCTATGCCTAAGAGTGGAGGACAGTTTGGATCATAGAACCATAGAATAGTTTGGGTTGGAAGGGACCTTTAAAGGTCATCTAGTCCAACCCCCCTGCCATGGGCAGGGACATCTTCAACTAGATCAGGTTGCTCCGAGCCCCATCCAGCCTGACCTGGAATGTTTCCAGGGATGGGGCATCCACCACCTCTCTGGGCAACCTGTGCCAGTGTTTCACCACCCTCAGCATAAAAAATTTCTTCCTTATATCTAGTCTGAATCTACCCTCTTTTAGTCTAAAACCATTCCCCCTTGTCCTATCGCTACAGGCCCTGCTAAAAAGTTTGCCACCATCTTTTTTACAAGCCCCCTTTAAGTACTGAAAGGCTGCAATAAGGTCTCCCCGGAGCCTTCTCTTCTCTAGGCTGAACAACCCAACTCTCTCAGCCTTTCTTCATAGGACGAAGTCTTCAGATTGCAGAGCAGAGCCAAGGTGAGAAACAAAAAGGCAGGGATACCATTTTTGAAGACTTTACTTTCAAATTTGGTCAATATTAGAAAATGTTCAGTTCAATTAAAATCAAAAATTATTCATAAAATTATTTAGCTTAGAGCTAAATTAATCTATCTTGATTTAAGATGCACTTTATCTCTTTCAATTCCACTGTGGAGGAGAGGCTTGACTTGGTATTACTAAATATGTTTTAAATTGATTTAGTAACTGAGTATGAGCTTTCCAGAGAAACCCTAGCTTGCTTCTGTTGAGGCTTAGAGAAATCCAGTGGTAAACTGGGATTAGAAAACAAAAATGCCTGGTGCTAGTTCCCCTGCACCAAGGGAAGAGCTGATGCACTTTATTAATATAGTTTGCTTTGTAAGAGCAAAGTAATAAATTACTAAAAATTACTTAGGCAAGAATCTCCTGCATTTTTTCTCACTCCAAATCTTAAAAGTAAAAACAAAAAATGCATCCTGCTTGACATGTCTTCTCCTTTCGAGTTCAAGTTGCACTAAAATGTTGGAATGTAACTGGTGAACAGAATGGAGTAGAAAGGGAAATAACCCATCATTCTAACGCTGTTCCCCTAGGAGTCCGCACTCACGGTTTATATGTGGCTCCTTGAAAAGTGGCAGAAAGCTGGAGGGACTTGGGGGGATTATTTCCATTCTCTGCCTTTGTCATCTGCATTCTTAAGATCTGTGAGGGCAGCACGCTGGTCTCTGCTCTCCACCCTTGACAGTCTGGCGTAGCTGAAGCATGGCTTGGCCTCTCACTTCCAGGCAGGACAGGAAAGACCAGTGACATTTCCCTCAGAACAGGCTGCACTTAAGAACCTCAGAAATAGCCTCAGATTTCAAGTGACAACAATAAAACAGGAAAAAAGTTATTAGCTTACAGATAAACAGACCATCCCTAACCTCTCAGTGTCATTTCTGAGAACCTCTTGCGAAATTAAGGATTTTATCTATCAATAATACTGGCTTTCTCTGATATGATTTCTTTGCTGATTATATCAATCCATCACCAGGATGTTGTAAAAACCCTAGTAAATCTTCCCTGATACTTCCATTGGGTCATCCCATATGAGACCCCATCACATGAAAAAGTGCCAGGGAAAATAAATCAAGATTTGAAAGACTGTTTTACAGTGAAACAGAAGTTGGTTCATACTATGTGTAGTACAATTCCATAGGCAAAACTGTTCCTCTGTCATTATTTAGGGCATATAAGCTGAAGTGCTGATCCTTACAGACTTAAAGCATAAGGACATTACTGCTGCCACCTCTAGTCTGCAATGATTGCACATTTGCTCTTTCAAATAAATAGAGGTAATATTTCTGGAGAAATCAGCTATAATACTCTATATAGGATATATATGGATAAATACAGTATATGATGTCCTCTTGATTCCACTTGAAAATATGAAAATGTTCATGGTTTGGATTTTTGTTTTGAGTTTGGGTTTTTTTCCCCTTTTTTTTTTTCAAAGAAACCACATTATTAATGTGCAGAGCTCTGGGCTTTAGGGATCACTTGGATTCCTGGAGAGTTTCAGTTTTGTCTTTCTCTGAGTTAAAGCACATTTTAAATATGTCAGGGATGAAAGCCAATCACAGAAAAAATGAGATATTTAAAAAGCTCCCATCCCTTGTCTCTGACTTCAAAGCAGGTTTGTGCTTAGGACTGGGTAAGAGAGTGAGCAAAAGAATGTTTTGCAGTCAGAGGAACCCATTGTTTGCTTAGCTCTTCCTCCTTTTTCCCTCCTCATAACTAAGCTGCTTCATGGCTGCACACATTCAACTCTAGCTGTGCCCAAGAGCTCATATCACTCTCCCTGCAAAGGAAGTGTCTCCATTTAGGTAATTCCACTCAAGCATTTTCTTTGGGCATGTTTTATTATTGTTTTTCTGGTCTCAGTTAGCATCAAGCTGGGGGGAAAAAAAGTTGCTAGTCACAGATGCTCAGAGTACTGTTTTGGCAACAGATGTTAAGGTTAAAGGCCAAGCCATTTAAAATATTGATTGATTACATATATTTACAAGCTAAGATGGTCAATGCGTGAAGAGGCCCAAGGTGCACAGTCCTGAAGTGGTTTGCACTTGCAGGAGTAGTCATTCATAACAGCTCCAAAGACTTCTGTGTGACTTCAGCTACTCAGAATATTATAGCTCATTGCTTAAAAAAAGGAAGAAAAACTGTAAAAGAAGTGAAATTTTAGAAATATTGAAAATTATACTGAGGCTGGAATACCAACTGCTCTTTCCCCCTTGACTTCTTCCATTGTAGAGGCACCTAGTGTTCCGGGCAAAGGGATCCACGCAGCAAAGACAGCATTTCTCTCCCCTCAAACAACTCTTCCTTTCTGTTAGGGCTTGGCAGTGGGAAGGATCTTATACGCCCTCATATCAGCAGATACCTCCTGCTTCCCTGAATAAGGCAGTTCACTCTCTCTCTTTCCTGATAAACTGCCACTGCCAATATTTCCTTCTAAAAGCACCATCTTTGGGCTTAAAACCCATGAACATACCATTAGGTAGTCATGGAATCAGAGCGACAGCAGCTCCAAACTGTGAGTGTCTTAAGTCTGGAATAAAAATATGCCTATCAAAACTTTCTACAGTCAAAATGAATTGCAGTAGCAGCATAAATGGCTGATAGCTGATAGCATTCATAGTGCCGAGTATAGTACACCCTGCACAGTGCCCATGACCGGGGAAAGGTCTGTCCCTCTGAAGGAAGTAAAGTTAATGTTTTGTTGGAGTGCCCTTGTTTTGCACTGTGTAAGATAAATAACTTTTAACTTTAAAGAAGTATCAATTTGGTTCTCAGTAACTCAACAGAAATGACTAATGTCTCATTGCAGACTCACAGGGAATCTCACAGTAAATCCCATCTTCCATTGTGTGTGCCACATGGCCCTCGAAGTACTCTTAATTACAGGCAGACATCCCATGCAAGCAAAGCAAGTAAACAATAGGGTTGATTCTTTGTCTACATTGGCTTGTGTTTCGGCTTTCTCACTATCCAGAAGCTTCAGGGGCGGATGCAGCCCTCGTCCAAATGGTAGGCTGTGCAGTCTCAGAGCCTCACCACCAGGCCCAGGAGCACACATCGCTGTGTCTGATGCCAGAGCAACCTTGTAGCTCCCGCCGTTCCTCCCACTAGCCCTGTGTCTGAGGGATACACGCCATACAAATCAGGACTCTGGGTTTAGTCTCATTTCCTTAGGAAGCAAGGCTTATATAATAATTTTGCTCGCCTATCTGTCCAGATGTGTGTCAGTCCCCTTCCTCACAGTATTTTTTTAAATCCATTAGCCAAGCTCAACCACATCTGACAAATGCCTCAGAGATAATTGCGTTCTGACAAGTTTCATTAATACTGGCAGCTGGATACCAGAGAGTGGCACCCAAAATTAGTATTCCCACTGTGGGAGAGGCAGGCAGGGCTCAGCTGTGACACATGCTGCTTGGCAGCAGGCAGCACACGTGTAGCGCCACATTTGTCAAAGCGTCACAGAGGATATGGGGACAGCTGGGTTTACCCTGACATGCTTCAGCCTGTGTTGCGGTGGGCTGCTGATCTAGCAATGCCATGGAGAGGGGCTGTCGGTGTGAGGGGAGCCAGTGGCTTCTGGGGTGAGGCAGCACAAGCTGTGGTGTGCAAGGGGGGTTGGGGGATGTTGTGGTAAATAAAGATGTAGGAAAAGGAGAACTCACTGATGAACAAACCCTACAAGCCTCAGCACACATATGCTCCAAGCAGGGGCCTTTTCCGGAGAAGGTGTGATCAGTTAGTCAAAAGATGGATAAACTCAGGGTGGATGGAAGAAGCCCTACTTTAAATAGGAGAGGCGATCCACAGCAATACATCTTTTCAAGCGCAAGAGTAGGCAATGGGTGTCCACCCTAGTAGTTCCACAGCTGGGTAAACTCCTCTGCATAGTGGTTGGGCATGGCAAAAACTCGGAGTGACAGGGATTCTGGTTTCATTTGCTTTTCTAATGGGATAGGTTTGAGTGCACGGGATCATGCAGGACTCGTCTCCTGGACATATGGATGTGTGGGGTGGGTTTTTTTAACATTTTCTTGCTTCTCTAGAGGGGCAAGCTGATTGTAGGTACTCTGTTACTCTGTCTTTCTCATCCACCTCAAGCAAAGAGTTGAACTATCCTCAGCAGCTGAGACAGTATGGAAGGGGCCAGGAGACACCTCTTAAACATTCATGAACTGTTCAGGGGTGGGATTGTAAGATAAAACATTTGAGTGTGTTTATTGGCCACCACACTGCTAAAGCTACCTTTCAAGGGTTTTTGAGCTTTTTGGGCAAGTTGTTGACAGCAGCCAGTAATAGTCTGCTAGCCTTAGAGAGCATAAACATCTCTTTTTATGTTCAGCAGTTTCCTCTAGGCTGTGCTGCCAATATACCTGAACTGTGTGTTGTAGGAAATACAGCTGAAGTGTGAAATGACACTGTACAGTCAAGGTCAAATTGGTATTTGGCTCATCTTCCAAGCCTGATAATGAATGTATGAACAGTAAGGATTTGGGGGAAGTGGAAACTATTGTATTATAAAATGGACTGAAGCCACCAGTACAAAAATGACATTTTCACAATGTAGCATCCTAGCTACTGACTTACTGTTATCAGAAGAGGCTTTGACAAATAAATCCTAGCATCACCTGAGAACATCTGACTTCTTAAAGCCCCTTCTGTCTGACTTCCAGTGCAGAAAGCAAGTTGGTTTCACGGGCTGGTTGACAAATGTTCTGTCTAGTGGGAGACAGAGATGATGTGGTTCATTTTTGTTGCTTTAGATCTGTCAACAGCTGAGGACTCATTGTTCATGAGAGGTTTTTGACTCATCTGAAGTCCCTGACAAAGGTGGCTGGAATCTTGCCTTAGTGGTTCTGCTCTTCAATCACACAGAAACAGATACTGACATTCAGCCGTGTCTTATCCGCCCAGAGGGCTGTCACACATTCCCCACGGCTCCAGATTTTCATGATGCTTTCTGCTTATTCCATGTCACTGCGAGAGTTTGGGAGGAGTGCTGTCTAGAACCCTGTCACTGACAATGGGACACGTCCAAGTATAGCTGACACACAGCGCTCTCTTCCTGAATGTGTAGCTCTGCACACAATGAATGGGAGAGGAAAGGTGAATGCTACAGGAGGAGAGAAGGCAAAGAAACTAGGCCTCAGAGGGGGTGTGGGGTCTTCTGTGCTGTATAGCTGGACACTGTGGGAACTGGCAAACTTAATTTGCTCCCCACAGCCTTCAGAATACAATGTGAGTGGCTGCTCTAATAGTCCTCTGTGTGCAGATTCCCTGGGAGGCATGCCCTGGTGGACCAAAACTCTGGGAGATGTGTTGTAGGCAAGCTTTAAGAAGAGGAGAAGGGCAGAGAAACTGAGAAAAGAAGGACTAGGCTTTTCCAAGAATTGCACTTACTAGAGGCCAGTCCTTTTTTCCTCCTGCCATAGGGTGGCATTTGCAAACAGTGTTTGTAACGCCAGGCAGCAAGCACTTCTGCAATCTCCCCTCATTGCAGACGCCTGCCCTCAGTGCAGCCTTCATGCCAAAAGTCAGTGTCAAGGGCCTGACCCCCATTTAGCCTAGACTGTCTTAGTGCATGGCTTACTCTTTAGAAGGGAGACTATAAGAAAAAAAACTTAATCCCAGCATCTTAATCCAAGAGTCTTGGGCAAAGCTTCCTCAACAAAGTATGTGCTTGAGGGCTTGATAGACACTTGACTATTGGTGCCTGACTTCCATGGTAGAGGAGAGTAGCCAGTGTCCTAAAAAAAAAGGAACATCAACACTCCTTCAGTACCTCTGTGTACTAGTAAACCTTTTGTTTTCATGATCTCATTAAAAATTTCTCCTCACTCCTCTTCACATTTAATTTATTGGCATTTCATTTGTATCAATATGTGATATTTTTAAATGGTCTAGGATGTCCAGCAGCATACTAAATGAAAGTAAAATTTAAAAGTTCTAAATGAACAATGAAAAAACCCCAAATCCTGGTCCCCTTACACAAACACAGTGCTCTGAGTTCAGTGTCTAATGTGATGTTGGTACCACTCTGCTCTCAATATGAGCTCCATTATTCTGCAAACAATGAGCACTATGAGTTCTCACTCACAAGTATGGTGAAGGCAGGGTGAGAGTCCTGCCAAGTCCTGCCAAGTCCTGCCAGATGCTAGGAGGAGAGCTTACAGGTCTGCAGTCACAGCAAGGAAGAAATGGACCACCTGAGAGGGTTGGAGGAGAGACACACACACGTCAAAATACCTTGATACAGCTTTGAGTGCTGTTCCAAGCACAGCAGTATTAACTAACGTACTGGGTCTCTGAGTAGGTGACTTCCCCTGGCAGTATGACTCCCCCAACAGAAGTGGGCTGCTGTGTGTTTGTGTCTCAGGGTCGGGTGGGGGATAGGGAAGCAGTTGGGGACGCCCAAGGACTTACTTGGATGCTTCTTTCCTTGCTTATTTTATTTTGCAAAATGATGTGTGTTCACAGGCATTTACAGTGGTTCCAGCGCTAACCATAATGGTCCCTCACCAGGTATATTGCCGCCTCCCCATGACATCCCTTCAAGACACCATCCACTCGACTCTACCCTTTCTAGTCCACATCACCATCAGTCGCCGTTGGAGAGTGCCAGGGACGGGTATGTGTATGAAACATGCTTGGCCTCTGTCTGGCATGATAATGAATGATTAATTGTTTATTTTACTTTGCATGGATGCTGTTCAAATGAAAAACACTGGCTCAAACTAAGCAATTTTATTTGTTTTAGAATCATAGAATAATCTAGTTTTGAAGGGACCTCAGAAGGTCATGTCATCCATCCCCTGTGCAAAGCAGAGCAAACTTTGACGTTACTATCAGGTTGCTCAGAGCCTTGTCCTTATCTTCAACAAAACACACTGAGATTTTTTTTCTTCATAGAATGCAATTGCATTTAGTTTGTTTTTTTTTTTAAAAATTCTTCCTTGATGACTTCTTGTAGTTTTGGATAAGTGCAGGGAACTTTTCTCAGCTAAAATGAGAAATCTCTCAAAGGGTAAAAACCCAAACTGTGACTCACTCAGAAATAAGGCAGTGTTTGCCTTAGTAAGACTTACTTTGTGTCAGAACAGCAGGCTTTCTCATTTCCTTGCTCTCTCATAAGATTTTCTGTAATACATCTCTCAGTAGCAGGCACTAACCTGTAAGCTCCTAATCAGGGAAGGGTATATTATCACATTGATTGTATAGATTGCATTGCTACAGTATGGATTGTATTGCATTGCTACGGTATCTGATATTTCTAAAGCACCATTTGCTCAAGAATCTCATAACATCTTCTCAACAGTAAAGAACCTCTGTAAGCCACAAAATTTTGCTCTGATCTTTTTGCTTAGATTTTTTTTGGTGCCTAGCCTCATGCAAATTAAACATCAAACTTACAGGTTTTTTTCCCGGCACTTTGGACAGGGTGGGAATGCTGATTTTGCTTTACTGATGGGAACTTGGGATACAGAGAGATTAAGAGATTTTCTTTCCTAAAAATATGTTGGGGTTCTTTAGCAAATACAGCAATTGAATGTTGAGTTTTCCCATCCTAGTCCAGTGACTGACCCATCCCTTCTTTTATATGAGGAAAGGAAAGCCCAGAAAGTTTTTAATTGTATGCTTTAAGCAAAGGGCAGAAGGCAGAGTGTATGTGGCATGGAAGGGGCATGGTAAGGAGAAGAGTTGAAGAACAATCTGATTGAGGAAGTTCAATTAGGAACAAATTACTCAATTTTTTTTCTTAATTGGGGAATGAATGCTGTAGCAACCTTAGCTTCTATACCCTGTTCCTCCTTCAGCCAACCCTTCTGACCTATGCCAGTAGCAGGTACCAGTGCCCCCTCCCAATGTATGATGCATATCTGCCCATCATAGGAATAGACTTTCCCTGTCCCCATCACATAAGATGCCTATGCCCAACCCTTCTCCTCCCCTGCCCTGCCACCCACATTCCCGACCTTGTATTTCCTGTTGGCAGACCCATGCCCATGGCAGAGTCATGGCCAACAGGAGGCACTGGGCATGCTGATTTAGATGGAAGTTATACCAGATAAATACGAAGTTTTCTGTAGCAGAGAAGGCAGTGAGCAGAAATAGGAGGAATGGAGACAGACAGTCCAAAGCGAAGGTAATCCACGAGCTATACTTTCCCTGTAGAATGGGACTACTTGAGCCTGGGGGAGTAGGATCCCTTCCCTCTCACCGCTCCCCAGTGTGCTGCTCAATTGTTTCCTCTTTGAGTTGGTTCCTAGGGGAGTTAAGGCAAAAAACCCCAACCAAGAATGAAATAAAGTAAGGATATACTATGGGAAGGATTTAACAGGCTGTCAGTAAGGTGGATTTGTTTCGAAGGCACTTCACATTCTGGTACTGTTAATAAGAAATGAAAGCAAAGAATTGAATGAGGGCAGCAGACAGTTTTCCAGTTTGAGGGGTCTGAAGCTCCCAGGTGAATTCCTCTTGCTGCCCCTCATGTCTCCATTCCAGAGTACGGCACTGCTCTTTCAGCAGAAACACCATGCTGAGTGAGCTGAGTTTCTCACGGAGCTCCTTCTACAGACATTTGATCATTTGTTTAGGCCAAAGTTTACATCAGAACGTCTCTGCTGTTTTCCGTGCTAGTGGAATAGGTATTCTTTCTCAGAGGAGACAACAGTGCTGATTTATTATCTCAGTGCTTATATACCTAAGTAATGTAAAGTCTTTGCAGAAACACCATAGTTAATATCCTATGACAAAATGTAAGAGTGAGACGATAACAGATTTGTAACCATGAACCAAACATCAGAAAATGGAGAGTGGAATGTATTTTTGAATAGTTATTTTAAAACAGGGTATCTAGTTTCCTGACATAATTACTTGGAATCTTTCAGCACCTCAGATACCATTTTCTAATAATACATTCAGCATTGTCATACCCAGTCCAAGATCCTTTTGCTGTATTTAATTGTTTATGCTTACATTATTAATGACTGCTGAAATAAAGCCCATACGTGACATTTTAATTGCAAGTACAGAAACTTAGTGTGAACTAGTAGTCCTTGAATTTCATTTAGCACAGTTTTGTTTAAAGCATTCATCCATTTAACTGGGCAAAATCACTTAATAATCTAATGCTTGGAGCCACTGAATTACAGAACTGTTACACCTTTGCCAGTTCATAGCAGTATGCCATTACTCATATAAAATATATATGGTTTACAATAGGAAAGAAACACCTAACACTACCTTTCTTCATATTAACTGCTCCAGCTTGCTGGCACACATATAATGTTTTGCCTCATTTGTCAGCTGTCTCAGCATTCATGTTTAAGTAAATGCGAAGAATTTCTGTACTGTGAATCAGTACGATGACAAGACTGGATTGCATAGTTTAAGTCTGTGGAATGAACCAAATGATTACTATCAAGAAATCTAATTACTGAGTCATCAAATATGCAAGATGCCAAAAACTACATGAGGCGGAGTACAAACAGTCTACTCAAGTTTGACATAAGATTCAGAATTTGATTTAAAGGCTTTTTCTTTTTTTTTTTTAAAGCCCTATGTTATACCATCCTTTGCCAAAGTCAATACCAAGTGCAGCAGTCAATTTTCCCAAATGGTTTGCTAAGACATTTAAATAGTTTGACAAAATTATCTAATTCACTTGAAAATGTTCTAACAAAATCTGACTTCGTTACCAAATGTATTTATACTGGCTTTATACAACATGGAGAGTATTTTTTCAAATTCTGGTATGAACTGTATGCTGGACCAAAAGATTTTACTTATATTGATATTAATTAAACTAAAAGTGTGTGACTGAGAAATATTTTGGCATCCAGAAAGTGAGCTTGTCATGATCCAGGCTTAAATATATATTTATTTTTAATTTCAGGTAGCAAAGGTTTATTTTAGCATTTCTTGTAGCATATGCCATGTATAATGTCTAACTCGGTTTCATTTTGCCCATTGCAAAAATAGTCTACCTTGATTTGTAGCCGAATGAAGACAGAAAAACAGCTTTTAGTATTAAATCTTAGGTGGATGTTGCACTTGGCTTTCTACTATTTTTTTAGCTGTTATTATCTAAGTAATCTAAAAATGTACTTAGTTTCATTCGTAAACTATCTCTGTAAATTCCAGTTTACAATATTCAGTGTGATAAATGATCAGCTTAAATGAAACTGATAGGACTAAAGTTAAGTGAGTTTGAGAGGTGGCACCAAGTTAGGGATTTGCACCAATTTAGCGTAATGACCTAACAAGGTCACTTTGTAGGATCTGAACACGGTCCCTCTATATGTGACTGTGAGGCCCTCTGTCACTTGTGTCGCTCATAACAAACAGCACTTATGTTCTCAAAAGAAGCAGGGGGTACTGACAAATAATAACTTTACTGGGAAGGTGATGTGTCTCCAAGGGAAAGGAAAGTGAAACTATTTTTTTATATTCCTGTGGAAATTTAGGTCATTTCTGCTCTGTAAACACAACAGTAAATGAAGAACCAGGGGGATTAAGAAATCTGTGATGTCCATAGGTGATGATTAATGAGAACTCTGAATCCAGTCTTATGAGCCTTTAATATAAAGGATTAAGTAATCAAGGTTAGAGGAAGGAGCTTACACAACTCCTTTTTGCCCGGGCTTCTCACCAGCTAACTGCAACCAGTTCAAACCATGTTCCAGACCCTGCTGGAGAGCCACTTACCCATACAAAATCACAAGAAACAGGACTTAATAACAATCAGGTGAAAAGAGACATTTTAATCAGGCTGCTTAAACATCAGAATTTGTGTTTGCTTGCTTCTTAGCACCTGTTAATTCAAATACCACAGAAATACTTAAATGTAAAGAGATCTCTGTCAAAAATTTAGTCCTTCATTTCTCGTTATGTAAAGCAACACAACATATACAGACCCTCCCTTCTTGCTCAACCAGGGAGCACCAGATTTGAAATTCCTGATATTTTTAAGGTTGAAAACAAATACACAGGATAAAATCTTGTGTGTTAGATTTTTATTTGTACTACTACCATGTTACACTTTGGCAATAAGAGACTGTAAGCCAGCTCCTACCCACATTTCAGCCCTGTTAACATACATTGCCAGGACCCTCTCAGGTGCCTCCATTTCAAAGAAGAATCTGGCCCAGCCCCCCTACCTGCTCTCAGTGAGCTGCGGAGCTGGGAGAAAGCACCCTCCAACAACCCCGCCTCTCTGCTCTGTGGGATTGTTTTTGGCTTCAGCTGTACCGGTAGATGATGATCGCATACAAAGGGTTTGGTGGGTGGCTTGCTCATCAGATGGTACCAGACTCAAATTCTTTCACTGTTGTTTGCAAGCAGCTAGTTTTCTGGAGCATGACTGTTTCTGGGATAAGATTTAAGAAATTGCCCCAAAACCAGTAAAAGAAATGGGGGAGGTTCTTTTCAATAGGTTGTGCTATCTCCCTAGCTGCCAGAATCCATGGCCAGATAGGAAAATACATTTGTGTACCTAATTCTCATTACTCTCAGTGACAATTATGTGTCTAACTACTTATGTCTAAATTTTATTCATCTTTAAGTTTGTGAGCTCACATAAATAAATTGACTAGGAACTGGCATGTTGCTAGAATCTTTGCAGGAAAC